CCAGCCTGCGCAAGGGTTGCAATGTTGAGGCCCTCACGGGGCCCTTACCCCCCAAAAAACACGGGCCTGCTTCAGGGAAGCAAATTGGTTCCATTCGTAAATCAAGTCATCAATTAGGGTCGGTTGACATTGAAGCTGCTTCAACCGCTTTTCCGGACCCAACACCATATTTCTGCTTGGTGCTCTCGATCGAGTCTGAACCAAATGGCTTCGAACACCCCGAAGCTTGCTTGTCACATGTAGGAAAGAAACAGGAAGTTGAAGATAGGGCGCATATTGTTCACACGGGGCACTGCTCGAAGACTTCCAAGGCTTGTAGCGCCTCCACGCCATTGGAACATGACCTCGGCGCACGCAGCTCATTCGATCGCATGTGGCTCAATGAAAAAAGCTCGAAAGCGCGAAACTACAACAGAAGCGAATGCATCCCCCCAAGCCATGCGTGACAAAGCCATGCGTGAGCAAGGCATGTATGAACAAACCATGCGTGAGCAACACATGCATGAGCAAACCATGCGTGAGCAACACATGCATGAACAAACCATGCGTGAGCAAGTATGAATGGTCAAGCCAGAAGCTTTCAACAGGACACCCACAGCTACAGTACAGCTAGGGCGCCCAGTTTTACACAGTCAGCGCGTCCAAATCATCTCGGCCATCTAGCTCGGCTTAGCTGGCACATAGAGAAGACTTGCCACAAATTCACAAGTCATGCCAGTCTGAAACGGGATATCACCAAACTGCAAAATTCGCGCCTCCCACGTACACAGCAGGCGGCACACCTTTGCTCCCAGCCTTGTAAAGTCAGAGCGCACCCTTTGATCAAAAACTAGAACAGAGCTCTGGCCTTGTTCTTTGGCGGAGGTGGAGGGCGAGGAAGGTTTGACGGCCAGCATGGCTTCGCTGCTATCGGTGGGGGCGGCGGTTTCCACTGGGGAGGCGGAGTGGACGGGCGAGGAGGTGGAGTCGGTACTTTTGGCTTCGAAGCAGCTGGCTTGGCCTTCTTTGCAACTTGCTGCTCAGGTGCACCAGGTGCAGATTCACAAGCTGTTCTTTTGTTGTGACCTCATTCGTCTGCTCTGTTGTAAAATTGTCCTGGGGAAGGAAGAACCAAAAGGAGAACAAAGGATCCGCATGTCAGTCCTCAAACGGGATCACAGTCGGCGTTGGCACCGTCATTGGCTCTAGTAGAGTTGGGACCTGCAAAGCACCAGGAACTCAAGCCACATATTTGGTTGGTCGTCTGACTGCCGCGTGCCTCTGTCGGTGTCGGGCTTGGCGGCGGGGTTTCGCCAACAGCTGAAGTGATTGAAGTCGGAGAAGTATCATCCTCCTTCAATCGATGCTACTGTGAGATGGGAGAAGGAGTGTCCTGAAAAATGACCCAGCCTGGCCCTGCATGCTGGGCAACGGCAAGGCAAAGCAACAAGGAGCTCTTGTGCCCAAAAGGAAGCGGAAAGTTGTGTCAATCGGTGTCAATGTCACTGTGCCCAACCCTATACTAGCTAAGAGCTCAGTAGCCCACGCAGGGGATGGCCCGCCGCAGCTTGAGGGGCCCGTTTGCAACCGATCTGTGAAACATGCTGCGGACGTGACACGTTGGCGACTGCATGCGTGAGCAAACTATACATGCGTGGGCAACATCGTGGATGCGCAAGGTTTGAGTGAGCAAGGTTCATGAGTGAGCAAGGTTCATGAATGAGCATAATCATGAGTGACCAAGTCATGAGTGCGCAAGCTCCATCGACGCGTCTAAACGAGCGGTCCGACCAAGTCCTAAAGCAACTGCTCTACACAACATCTCAACCACACATCTGCGCCCCACTTGCCCAACAAACCTATCAACCAAAAAAAATTGTTCGCCTTATCTTTTGTTTTTGAAATTTCGCATTTGCAGTCGAAATGGCGCATTTGCAGTGTATACACTATAAACGCGCATTTCCACTTACCGCTTTTTTTAAAGTAGAAACGCATGTCCAGGCATTTCGCGCGCTCGACACGCGCGATCTCCGCAAAGGGTTGCGCGCGAACCGGACAAATCGCACTCTCGTCTGCATTTCGCGCCCTCGACACGCACGATCTCCGCAGAGGGTTGCGCGGGCAGCCGGCAAGTCGCACTCTCGCCTGCATTTCGCGCACTCGACATGCACGATCTCCGCAGAGGGTTGCGCGGGCAGCCGGCAAATCGCACTCTCGCCTGCATTTCGCGCACTCGACACGCACGATCTCCGCAGAGGGTTGCGCGGGCAGCCGGCAAATCGCACTCTCGCCTGCATTTCGCGCACTCGACGCGCACGATCTCCGCAGAGGGTTGCGCGGGCGCCCGGCAAATCGCACTCTCGCCTGCATTTCGCGCACTCGACGCGCGCGATCTCCGCAGAGGGTTGCGCGGGCAGCCGGCAAATCGCACTCTCGCCTGCATTTCGCGCACTCGACGCGCACGATCTCCGCAGAGGGTTGCGCGCGGACCGGACAAATCGCACTCTCGCCTGCATTTCGCGCACTCGACACGCACGATCTCCGCAGAGGGTTGCACTTTCGGTTGACGCTGTTCGTCCCGCCCTCCGCCTTTAAGAGAGAATTTATAAAGTGGGGAAATGTTTTTTGATTAGGGCATCTCCCGTGCTAGTTTTCCATACTCACACTTGCCTACTCATTGCATGCTTGCATGCTCATTGCATGCTTGCGTACCCATCACTTGCATACTTACACTGCGTGCTTGCCGAGTGTTAGTGTGTATGTGTAAGTGTCAGTGTCGAAGTGTCAGTGTATGTAGTGCGAATGTGGTGGAAGTGTCAGTGTGTAAGTGTAAGTGTCGAAGTGTCAGTGTTCAAGGGATTTTCCGGAAGAACCCTTCGCAATGCTTTCGGGAACAATTTGACCTATAGGAGTGTCCCTTCGCGCATGCCCTGCAGACACCCTTTTTTCCCGGCCCGCAACGATGGCGTCATGCAAGCAGCCCCCAACGGCGTAGTCGCTCTGGCACTGTGCGTGCAGTGGCTTCTTCTTTTGCTTTTCATCGGTGGTTCACAGCAACGCACCGAAGTCCAAGAGCAGAGCCGATGCGTCGCCGACTCACCACATCCTTTTTTTACGAAGCCATTCTGCGAGACTTTCTTCCAAAATGTAAGTGGAAGACATGATCCAACCAGACATGATCCAACCAGACATGAAAGTGCCAGTTACATTGCGGGAACGATCCTGTAACTGCAGAACACAATGAAATTCCAGCGACAACTCATCCACCAGCAACACTTGCAGTCACATTCACAATGCGGAAACCATCCAGGAGCTGCAAAACGCAATGGAATTCCATCAACAGCACGCGCGCAAGAAACGTGTGAAAGCTCTAGTTACAATGGAGGGACGATTCGAGCGTGATCCGAGCGTGACGCGAGGACGTTCCGCAACCGTCGTTCGCAGAGCTTGACTTGCCAGGTTTGGAGCCACCCTTTGTATAGAAAAACACAGCATGTCGTGCGTCCGCAATCTCTCGAAAGCGCCTTTTGTACGAGACGTCCTTCCAAAGTGCATGTTGAACACCTGCAAAACGAAGCCATTCTGCGAGACTTCCTTCCAAAATGCATGTTGAAGAGCTGACTGGAACTAAAGCTAGCTAGAGCTAGAGCTGCTGAAAAAAACATTTTGTACGAGATTTCCTTCCACAATGTATGTTGAAGAGCTGACTGGAACTAAAGCTAGCTAGAGCTAGAGCTGCTGAAAAACGCATTTTGTACGAGATTTCCTTCCACAATGCATGTTGAAGAGCTAACTGGAACTAGAGCTAACTAGGTAACTAGAGCTAGAGTTGTTGAAAAAACATTTTGCACGAGACTTCCTTCCAACATGCATGTTGAAGAGCTGACTGGAACTAGAGCTAACTAGACCTAGAGCTTTTGAAAGTCCGTAACACGGAAGTTTTGCACCCTAAACTTCCTTTGATAACTATATCTGTATATATCGAACTTTGATCTTTTCCCCCATTCTCAAGTTGACTTTTGATTCGACTCCACCAACAACACGCTGCATATTTTACATGCTTATTTTCCTCCCGCTGTCCTAGCTTTCGCGTATCCCTCTTCTCAAGTCTGGGAAAACTAGGTGTGTGGAAACAACCGAGCCAAGAAGACTTCTAGCATACCCCTAAGCATGGAGTTCGCGAACTGCAAACGCGTGATATTTTAGCAAAGACAGTTTTTTCCGTAAGAAGGGATTTAGTTTGTTTGTGTCGCAGGTGGGTTTTTTGGGACCCTTCCTTGGCTGTGTTTACGAACCAGCACTGTCCTATTGTTGAGGTATTACATTTGTTTTTGGCAAAACTTTGTGCAAACAACATAGAAGACACAATATTGGCTGAATGTCCAAGGTCGCACAGACATGATTGCAAGCGACGGTTCTGAGGTGCGAATCAAGGATTTGCGGAAGGGGCATGGCTAGCAGTGCGTGGTTTGAGCTACTTGTAGTTTGCGCCAGGTTTGGCTTATGGATTCAGAGGGCTTCTTTGGTCCAGGCAGAGAATCCGATTTTCATGTTTGGCACATCGGAACAAACCATGAGTGTTCAACTTGAAATAGTTTACGTAAATTGCTCAACGAAACCGACAAAGGAGTGGCAGAAAGCTACGACGCCAAAATCTTCACCATTGCCACACTCCTTGGAGGGCACCTTGTGTACCCTCCTTGTATTCCCAGCAGGCCAAGACCATGTTTGCACGTTTTGGTGAGGCATTCGCAGCCATGAAGATCAAGGCAGTTGCCATGCAAGTAGAGAGTTTGTTTGGAAATACTGTGCAACCGAACACTGAATGTGTTTTTTTTGCATTGCTTTGTTTGTTCCGTCATTTCTTTGGGACACCAAGTGAAGCTGCTGTTTGGCAGAGTGGGGAAAAACTTGTTACAACTTATATAAATAAGGTTATTCGGGAGTTACGACAGAGAATCACGTTGAACCATTTATTTTTCGCATCAAGCATCACAAGTTGTGAGTTCTTACGATCTCGCAAAACACACATCATGAATCTTGTTCGAAATGAGGGTCCTGCTATGAGTTGCGAGCCGCCCCAAAAGAAGCAGCGACAAGATGACGGCGCCAAAGGGACCAGCGCCGGTCGCACTTTAGCAGTGCTTGGACTTGGCAATCCTGGGCGCACATATGAACGACACAGCTTGGGTGCCAGAGTGGCTGCCGCCGTAGCTGAAGCTAGTGCAGTGGCTGTCGAATCGACGAACAAGGACATGCTGCGTTTTGAATGCTCGAAGGGAAATGCGAGGGCAACAAATGTGATTACTTGGCCTTTGGTCACAACTTTTGACGATCCATGCAGAGTTCTTTGCGCAACAACTATGAATCCAAAACAAAAACAAACAGCAAACCTTTTGCTGCTCAAATTGTCTTAAACATGGGACCGCGCGACGGCATTTTGGGCACGTGAAGCCTCCAAAGTCCCAAACACCCAAAGTGACAGGACTTGGAAGGAGCTGTTTGGCTCGGTTGTGGAGAACTCAAGAAAGACTGGGCATTGATCTTGCAGCCGCAACGACCCATCAATGAGAATGGACCTCAACTGCACTCTGCGCTCGGGCCACAGCTTGAGTGGAGGTTGAAGCCACGATGGACTGGAGGCTGAGCATGAGGTTCCTTCTTCATCAACTCTCTTCAAACCATCGTGATCATCATGATCGGTGGTTGGTGTCGGTTAGTCATTCGAGAGAAAGAGTCCGAAGGAGCAGGGGAGAGAGAGAGAGAGAGAGGGCGAGCACACTGCTGAGGTTGTCAGATCTGAATCTCCAGGACGCGCCTTTTTTGACAATTGTGGATGACTGCTGGTGCCGCGTCGGAAAACTTTGCAACCAGCTCTGACAAGCAGAACCAAAAGATCCGCAACTTCTAGCAACAGTTAAATGACAGCTCAACAGGCTTTTTGAACTCATTGACTCATTGCCCACACCGGGTGGGGTGCGGATTGGCTAAGGTTACCTTTAGGAACAATTCGCTTCAGAGAAAAGGGCTCCAGTGGCGGCCACAAAGGTCTGGAGGGCATTGAGGCCAGCAACGCTATTTGGGCCATTGCTATTAGGTCGGAGGCCATCGCTATTAGGTTGGAGACCATCGCTATTAGAAGCTGCGTGAGAGAACAAGATGTACTCATGATGTCCCATGTTCATCTAAGATGACAGCGCAAAACAAGAAGTGTACAAGGCCGTTTTTACTCGAGAAAAGAGTCCGCATGGTAGCGGAGCCTGAGAAGCTCACCGCGAGGTGAGTGGAGGCTCCAGGGTACCCGGGCCACGCCATAGGCAATCATTGCTAGAGGGATGCAGGAGGAAGAGGTCGCTACACCCCGCTGGACTTCATCTTGCGCCCGTTGGAGGTCCTTGTAGGCACGAAGGTTTGGAGATGGCGACGGGTTCACCGATCTCAGGAACCCAGATGGACAGCCAGGAGATTGCCCTCAGGATGATCCAAGCGGCAGAAGCAGCCTCGGTGGCTGCTCAGAGCGCGGCTGAAGCTCCAGGCCGCAGGTCTGAGGGGGACAAGAACTGGTTCCCTTTTTGGTTTCTCTGGTCAGACAGCGTCCACTTGCCCTAAACATTCCAACGGCATCGAGGCCTATCGATTGCTAATCAAGAGCCTTGAGCCCGCTTCGAAGAACAGGTCATTAGGTCTGTTGACCATGATCTTGGAGTGGAAACCCTTTGACATGAAGAAAGGGGGCATTCTTGGCCAGCTTCTTTGGGTTGAGGGGGCCTTCTTGGAATACGAGAAAGCAGGCGCCAAGCTTGAGGACACCATCAAGTTCGCCTTCCTCATGAAGTGTGTGAGTGGCGAGCTCCAGACTTGGCTTCAACTCAATGTTGCCGAGAGCCAGGACTATGGGCAGCTCAGGGAGGTGGTCATTCAGTATGACACGGCTACATGGAGGTGGAGCAGCGCGATGATGCTTGGTGGAGGTGGACCGCATCAAGGGCAAGGGAGATGGCAAGAGCAAGGGCAAAGGCGCGCGAGGGCAAAGGCAAGGGAGATCAGCGTGGAAAAGGAAAGGGTAAGACCTATGGCAAGGGCTATGATGGTGGTGGCAAGTCGCAATCCATGGGCAACAAGGGTGACCAACAGAAAAGGCAAGTATGAGCAGCTCGTGAAGACATGCTTCACGTGTGGCAATTAAGGCAGGTCACCTGGCTCGAGATTGTTGGCGAGTTCGGCAAGTGAGTGATGAGAGGCGACGCAACCTCTACGGCGACTACAAGCCAAGCTACCACATGGAAGTCTGGCACCATCAAGTGGTTGCGAGAGTTTCACAGGAATTCAATGAGGAGCCGGTCGTCTTTGACTTGAGACTGGAGAGACGTCCTCTTCAGTGAGGGTGGTCCATGCAGTTCTACAACATTGCCGGTGAGGAGGAGATGGCTTCAGGGCTATAGGAGATGGAGCATCAACGTGGTCACGAACCAGTCAAATGGTGCTGAGGTGATGGAGGATGATGAGCCAGTGAACATCATCACGGACTCAGGGGCAGACGCAACGATTCTGCCCAGTGACTACCTTGGAGTTGGAGTAGAAGCTGATGAGGATGAACCTGCTCTTCAGGATCCAAAAAAACCTCAATAGCCATTAGCCATTGAAGGCTATCGGCGTGTTTGCTTCCACTGTCAGGATGAGAATGGCATGCGGGCAAGCGCGCCCAAATTTATGACAAGTGCACAATGACCTATGGAGTCGAGGGAAGCAAGTTGAGGATTTCTTTGAGGCTTCGAACAAAAGCCTGACTGCAGAAGGCTAGGTGAGGGCGATTGCTGTTGGACCTCATGTGGTGAAGACGCTGGAGGCCAAGCTGGCTGGAGACTTGGAGCAGAAGGTGAAGCAACCGCTGGATTGGTGGAGTGCATGTGGACAAGAAGATGCAGAATCCCCAATATGTTGGCGGCGTCCCTGTAAAATATTGATGGGCCGAGGACCACTTTGGTAAGAGTTGATGGGAAGTGGCAACTGCTTGAGATGTGTGAACCTCTCCATGGTCTACAAGATCAGGAGGAGCCTCTTGAGAATGTTGCGGAGAACGCATTGATTTTTCTTGACCATCTTGATGAAGGAAGCCATGGCGACGGAGGACATGGGCTTCGAGGTTGACTCAGAGCTGGGAGGTCAGAGACTCAGCGGAGCGGGAAACCGCTTGGCAGGAGGACAACTTTTGGGGGAAGAACTGTCCCAACCAAAAGATAGTGCCATTCCACTTCAGATGACGAAGGCGCTGCCCAAGGAGGAGGTTTTCTTCCGCTACAGGGACACAGAAGCTGAAGAAGTGGAGCGCTGCCCTTTCTAAGGAAGGCCAGGCAGAAAGTCTTCAGCAAATCGAAGAGGTGAACCAAGAGCGTCGAGCTGCAGGAGAGACTTTGACAGCGCGTGATGGTGAGCATTCATCGACAGCCCCACAACATGAAGTGCCAAGTGAACCACCGCAAGTACCCTCAGTTCCTGCAGAGCAAACTGGGGATGGGGGCGCAGGCGGAGAAGTGGATGTTCCTACCTCCTGAAGGAAGAGTTCTGACGAAGCTTCCGCCACCTAAAAGTGCTGTCAGGGGAGAGCCTGAGGCCAAATGTGCAAGAGATGGAGATGGCGCCGGAGGTTCAGCATCACACCAACTCACGGTGGAGAGGCGAGTTGAGAAGGTCTGCGTTGAGGAGACCATGTACCATCTGGATGAGGTAGTAGACGTCGAGACCCTGACAATTGAAGACGGAGAAGATGAAGTAGATTCAACCAGGCAATCCATGAGGAACTGTGGAGTGATGAGCCATTATCCAGAACAGCGCCAGAGCCGCTCCCCGAGGTGGAGATGCTGGCGAACGATGTGGAGGAACAGCGGCTCATGAGGATGAGAGCGCTGGAGAATTTGAGGATGGAGGACTTTTAAAATTTGGTTGGACAGGCTCACAACCCGCTTTGTCCATGATTGGCGGGTGAAGCTGTATGTTCCAAAGGAAGGCCCTAGAGATGGTTGAGGAGATCCAGAATGGTAGCGAGGGATTACGCGAACGACAAGAGGGACGATGTCTTCAGTCCAGCCTCAGGACATCGTGAGCTGAGGGTGTTGCCAGCGCTGTTCCTGAACTCGGTGGTCAAAAGGACCACCTGTCATTGGGGCGCTTGACATCGCGGATGCCTTTCTTCAGGTGGAGCAGGAGAGACCTGTCCTGCGCGCAAAGGCATGGTATGAGCATCTGCGCAGCTACCTGGCTGAGGAGTTGAACTTCGAGTTTGACGTGGTGAAACCATGCGTTGGGAAGAGAGGTGATGGGCATGACCTTGTGCGCAGTCTCACGTAGACGACGTGATGTTCACAACAACAAAAGCCAGTTGAGGACTATTTGTCATGAAGCTAAAGGAGAAGTTAGAGGTGGGCATGAGGACTATGGACAGGAGTTCTCTTTCTTGAAGAGGCGGTATGTCTATGTGGAGGATGGGCTGATGATCAAGCCAGGTCAGTATGCATCGAACATCATCAAGACCTACGTTACGAGGGCCACTTCGGACTTGCCAGGAAACAGAAGTTGCCTCAACCCCCACACCCAAGATGCAGACGGCTCCAACCTAGCTTCACCAGAAGACGCTGCCATCTACAGGTCCATCGTTGGTATGGGGATCTACTTGGCGCAGGAGCGCGTGGATGTGGCCTTAGTTGACTTGCAAGTCCACTCCCGCCGAAATCTCACTACTGAAAGCGCAGAAGTTTGTGGGATATCTGAAGGAGACAGAACATCAGCGTATCCTTCTTCCTCTACCTCAGAGAGGACAGGGGAGTGGCAACCGGCAACAAGGAAGTCAACGTCTTCCTCAGTTCACGCCCTTCATGGCCTGATCATCTACAGCGCCTCCAGAGGCCAGCAGGTGGTGAGTCTTTCTTCTGCCGAAAGTGAACTGCATGCGGTGCCTGCGATGGCATATGTCTCAAACGCGTCATCGATTTCTTCCTGGAGATCAGGCCCAACATGTGTGCTGGGTTGACAATTCTGCAACACGGCAGATAGCTTGCAAGTTGGGAGCAGGAAGACTGAGGCGCATAAGTGGCGGTTCCTTGGAGGTGAAGCAGATTGGCACTGCTTACAACCTAGCGGACATCGGCGCCAAACCTCTCTCAAAGACTCAAAGGCACGGCTACGCCTACTTCTCTTTTGGTGCCATGCTCGAGATGGAGATGGAGCATGTGGAGAAGGGAAAGATCATGAAGGTTGCTACGTACCTTAACAGGTTAATGATGCTTGGCAGCCTTGAGCTGAACACGGACATGGTGACGATCGATCCCAATTACAAGATCCCTTCCTACATGCTGATCTTCATCATCGTAATTGGAGCATTGGTCTCTGGAGCGATGGCTCTCTGGAATAAGTTCAAGAGACTTGAGCAAGCGTACATCATCAACCAGCTGGAGGCCGACAAGGGCAAGATAACCAGAAGAATCGATGGCTCAAGACTTCATGGAGCGCATCTACAGGGGCTTGAGGCAGGCTCAGTGTCCGGCGCAGAATGGGACTACTCGGAGTATTTGGAGGCAGTGAATCAACGACATGATGGACTACGACTTCGAAAATGCTGGAGGCATCAAGATCAGCTTCGAAGTGAACGAGGTGGTGGACCGGAAATTCGAAGGCTTCCCAATCTCACGGCTGAGCAGAGAGCAAGAATGGAAGGATTTGGCACCACTGCTGCTGCAGCGCCTGAAGTTGAAGAGAACCTAAGTGGTGATACTGTCGCTATCAGGTTGGACAGTGGTAAAGTGGTGGACGCGCCAGTCGAGTATGTGGAGCCTTCATGGGGGTAGGTCAGAGGGGGAAGAAAGCGATGAAAGCATGGGTGTGAGATTCCCCCTACGCAACCCAGGACCTACAACCAGGCCAGGACGAGAGCAGACTTGCTGGCAAGGGAAGAGTTGCTGAAGATGGAAGCCTTGTGGACCACGCAGTGCGAACTAGGAATTCGCAGCTGGAAGGGGAGATGTACAGAGCCATGCAAGACACCTTCCCTTACATGGAGCGGGCAACGTTTTGCCATAGAGACGTGCAGGTTTGGAGCACATCTAAAGCTCGTGCTCCAAAAGGAGGAGTGCGTGAGAGAACAAGATGTACTCATGTCCCATGTTCATGTAAGATGACAGCGCAAAACAAGAAGCGCGCAAGGCCGTTTCTACTTGAGAAAAGAGTCCGCAGAAACAAAGAAACAATAAAAGGAAGAAAGGCCTAACAGAGTTTCGCTACTAGGGCGTGTGATGCCAGTCAGCAAAGCTTGCCTGAACAACCAGGCAAGCTTTAAATGCGGACAAAATTATCACAGGTTGCGTTTAGGCGTGGCCATGTGGGAGAGACTTGTCATTGTGGTGCGCTTTGGACTGATACGAATTGCAATCTCAGAGGTTTGACGCAGGTACTCGCAGGTACCCTTTTATGATACTAATATTTGTATACGTACCGCCCAGGTCAGCCTTGGAGATTCACTGTTGCAGGGATCATTTTCAGCAAATTGCACATTTTTCTCCTTTCCGAGCAGGCATTGGAGGGAAAAATCTCAAGGACGCTCTGTAACAGATGGCAGTCTTTTTCTTGCAGCTTCATACCCGAATAGCATTGAACGACGTAGCTTAGAGTTGCGAGTTTTGTTCGAACATGGAGGAGTTTGTTACCGGAAGCTTTACTGAGGAGGAAGAGCTGGGCTCTCAGGGAAGTGTGTCGGACGGTGCGTCAGAGAAACGCGCGATCCTCGTCCATGTTTGACATGAACACTCTGCAACACAACGAACAAACACATGCAACGCGCAAAGGCTGTCCTGGCAGGATGTATTTCCTTGACAGAACAGATGATGTGAAATGCTCCGTAGTTAGGATTTGGGCCCGAGTTAAGTTCTTGGGGACGCCCCAAGACCTTGCGCTTCTTTCCTTTTTTCATCCATATACAGCCAGCCGATAGGCTAGGCTGGAGTTGTTGATGGGCGAACGAAGTGAGTATAGGGGGTGTGGGGGGGGTGGAACTCCCGTCCAAAGAGGTGGCGACAGGGTCCTTCCCCGTTCAATCGATTCTCTTTTTTCCCAAGAGGTGGGTGCAAACCCCATCTTCCTCAAACAGACTGCCTCTTTCAAAACGAAACAGAAAGGTCAAAAAGGATCGGCAACCATAGCGAAATGCGACGGGCGCAGAATGAGCCCCCTAGCGCCCAACCGAAGTGCGAATTCTCTTGGCGCCCACGATTTTCACCAGTGCTCAGGCGACCCTCTCGCAGGATCCGGCCTGTCGAGCGCCCAAACGTGTAGAGAAGCGCAAATTCTTTTACGCGGCGGCGCGCCCCGCCCCTTTCGCAGCATCTGGCCTGTCGAGCGCCCAAACGTGTAGAGAAGTGCGAATGTGACCTGTGCTCAGGCGACCCTCTCGCAGGACCGGCCTATATCGAGTGCCCAAGCATGTAGCAAAACGCGAATTCTCTTATGCGGCGGCGCGCCCCTCTTGCAGGGATCCGGCCTGTCGAGCGCCAAGGCCAAAACGTAGCGAAATGCGAGTGTGCCCGGTGCACCGGAGACCGTCTCGCAGGACAGCCTGTCGAGCGCCCATTCGTGTAGCGAAGCGCGAATTCTTTTACGCGCCCCTATCGCAGCGTCCGGCCTGTTGAGCGCCCAAACGTGTAGCGAAATGCGAATGTGACTGGTGCTCAGGCAACCCTCTCGGAGGATCCGGACTGTCGAGTGCCCAACCGTGTAGCGACGTGCGAATTCTGCCTGTGAGCTAACGTGTAGCGAAATGCAAATTCTGCCTAGCCCTCTTGCAGGATCAGGCTCGTGGCCTCAAGCTTACATTTTACAAATGTGTGAGGTGGCCTCAGATGTGGTCTCCGCAGGATCCGGTGTGCTTACGCGACCGGTCTCGTGGCCTCAGAACTGGCAAGCTTATAGTACCAATGTAGTATACTCGGGAAGCAGCTTCTGTGTGGGGTGGCCTCAGATGCGGTCACTTTGGAGATTTTGTAGTAGACGTGTTGCGCGGGAAGTAGACGCGATCAAGTTTTTAGCGTTTAGCTTGTCTAGCTCAGGCTTTAGCGCTTGTAAGAGAGACTTGATCAAGTCTTATTAGCCTTAGCGTTTCAAATGTGCCAAGGCTTTAGCGCTTGTAAGAGTTTTGTTCAGGCTTTAGCGCTTGTAAGAGCCTAGCGCTTGCAAGAGACTTGATCAAGTTTTTGCATCTGCAACAGACTTGACCAAGTTTTTGCATATGCAAGAGACTTGACACAGTTTTTGCATTTCCAAAGGACTTGACCAAGTTTTAGCGTTTGCGAGAGACTTCACCAAGCTTTAGCGTTTGCGAGAGGCTTGACCAAGTTTTTGCGTGTGCGAGAGGCTTGACCAAGTTTGGTCTTGACAGAGTCTAGCGTTTGCAAAAGACGTCGCCAAGTTTTTAGCATTTGCAAGAGGCTTGACCAAGTTTTAGCGTTTGCAAGGGGCTTCGCCAAGTTTTAGCATGCGCGGGAGACTTGACCAAGTTTTGGCGTGTGTCAGAGAATTGACCAAGTTTGTTTTCCGCGGAGCCTCTGGCGCTTGCGAGAGAATTGGTCAAGCTTCAGCAGTTGCGTGAGACTTGATCAAGTTTTAGCGTTTGCAAAATCTTGCCAAGGCTTTAGCTTTTAAGAGCTTTGCTCAGGTTTACCAGGCACTTGTAAGAGCCTGCCACTTGCAAGAGACTTGATCACTTTTTTAGCCTTTGCAAGATCTTGCCACAGCTTTAGCGTTTGTAAGAGTTTTGCTCAGGCCTTAGCGCTTGTAAAAGCCTGGCACTTGCAAGAGACTTGACCAAGTTGCGAGTTCGAGATATTGGACCAAGTTTTGGAATTTGCAAGGGACGTAAGTATAAAGCATTTGCGAGAGACTTGACCAATTGCAAGAGACATGACCAAGGTGCTGATTCGTGCGCGCTTTGCTTAAAGCTTTCGGGTCTGCAGGGGTCTAGTTTCATTCCCGAAAGCATTGCGCAGGGTTCTTCCTGAAAATCCCTTGAACACTGACACTTCGACACTTAGACTGACACACTGACACTTCCACTACACTTCGACACTTACACTTACACACTGACACTTCCACCACACTTGCACGACAACATGAACGCTATACGTACCCCAGTGTAAGTGGAAGAGCGAAAGCATCCCAGTGCAAAGTATGCAAGTGTCAAAGTATGCAAGTGTAATGCACGTGTAAGTATGCAAGTGTAATGATGCAAGTGCAATGATGAGCAAGCATGCAATGAGTATGCAAGCATGCAATGAGTAGGCAAGTGTGAGTATGGAAAACTAGCGCGGGAGATGTCCTAATGAAAAAACATTTCCCGACTTTATAAATTCTCTCTTAAAGGCGGAGGTTGGGACGAACAGCGTCAACCGAAAATGCGACCCTCTGCGGAGATCGTGCGTGTCGAGTGCGCGAAATGCAGGCGAGAGTGCCGCTCGTCCGGTGCGCGCGCAACCCTCTGCGGAGATCGTGCGTGTCGAGTGCGCGAAACGCAGGTGAGAGTGCGATTTGTCAGGTGCCCGCGCAACCCCCTGCGGAGATCGTGCGTGTCGAGTACGCGAAA